AGCGAAGGCGGCTGAGATTTCATAAATGCTTCTCTAGTGGGAGGTTCCTACGTCTTTCTTGGTAACCCTACTACATATTCATGCATTAAACAAATAAATGGCTAAGGAACGATTTTATGTTGCTTGCAATCAGGGATTTCCTGAGAAAATTGCTCCTTGCGTTTGAAACCAGAGTTTACGATAAGAAGGCACCCCACTGGAATTAAGGTAGAGATGGTAAGTGATGATGAGATGAAGAAAAAACCACGAGAAACGGCGAAGAACCCCAGAATCCGCATTGATGCGACTCTCATCGGTGCCATCCTCTTTTATGCTTACGCTCTCGGCTAGGCAAGTGGTTAGCCAGTCGGTGGGCGTTCCGCGCTGATGCACTACGGGAAGGGCTGTGCTAGGTTTCCGGGGACATGTTTTTTAGGGAATTGCGTGTCGGCTAGCAGTTGTATTTCCACTGAGCAAGTGTCCCTTTCTTTGACCTCCAATCCTATCGTAGAATCTTCCTTTAACAAACATAAATATTTTGAAAAATACTCACTCATCATTACATGTAGGACTTGTTTGGGCAGCCATTTTTTGCCAGATTTTACTCATCACATTTTTTTCCTGCGCCAATGAGACTGCAAACGCTGACGTTCGAGTGGATAGTGTCGCTTGGGCACGAGATAAAATAGTATCTGAAGTGGAGCCAATGTTTATAATGTGAATTTGAATTCAACCCAAAATATCTTCTTTTCGACATCGAATGTAGCAATTCCATGTGTCAACAAAGTCAAAACCAGTACTCATGCGAGGACTTTTGCGCACAACACGCTTTTGGGTTTCTTAAAAGGAAGCAGTCACGCTGGCTTCCACGCTGGATTTGCTACCCTCGCGTTATCAATCGATAAGGTGTGAGGCAGTAATTGTTGGACGAGTGTAAGCCCATGGAAGATATGATACGATGAGATAAGAAGGTGCGGCTGCTTGATAAGAGGTGCACTCCAGAATGAAAACGGGACGATAACGATAACGGTATCATATCTAGCACGCTCTTATCGCACCCCTTTCCACATCGATAAGTCTTGGGTTTTGCTGAACTTGAGTGAATTTCGGCTCCTTATCACTTCATTGATAAGGGGCCACTGCCACTGAAACTTTACGTGTTCTAACATTGGGCAGGACCTCTATCCACTCCAATACATAGCTTTCCTTATCGTTGCCATGAAAATTATCGTGACTGCTTCCTTTAAAGGAAGCGGTCACGCTGGCTTCCACGCTGGATTTGCTACCCTCGCGTTATCAATCGATAAGGTGTGAGGCAGTAATTGTTGGACGAGTGTAAGCCCATGGAAGATATGATACGATGAGATAAGAAGGTGCGGCTGCTTGATAAGAGGTGCACTCCAGAATGAAAACGGGACGATAACGATAACGGTATCATATCTAGCACGCTCTTATCGCACCCCTTTCCACATCGATAAGTCTTGGGTTTTTGCTGAACTTGAGTGAATTTCGGCTCCTTATCACTTCATTGATAAGGGGCCACTGCCACTGAAACTTTACGTGTTCTAACATTGGGCAGGACCTCTATCCACTCCAATACATAGCTTTCCTTATCGTTGCCATGAAAATTATCGTGACTGCTTCCTTTAAGTGCAACACGAATAAAGAAGGTGTGGAACCACCTACCGATTTGGTCCAACCAAGCTGTTGTGACATCAATGATCCCTGGATGTGATCTCATTGGCGAGAGCTGTAGACGTACTCGCAACGCCCCGCCTTGTTGTAAAAAGCAGTTCCATCCGCATAAAAGAAGGTGCTAAAATGCTTTTTATTGCATGCAGTAGGCGACTCGTAATAACAACAAGTTTCTGACTAAAGAGTTTGAACAAAAAAACCAACTTTATGTAGCTAGCTAATATAGCATTTTCAATTATGACATTTATGACATCTGCAAACGCCTCTCCTTTCGGAACTAACATATACAGTAGCGGTCAGAAGTTTGGGAATTTTTTTTTTATTTTGATCTAGCGCAGCCTCACATGAGGGAAAAATTGTCTGCAATCAGATATCACATACGAATAAAACCAGCATACCATGGATGAAGAATCAATTTTCAAAAATCTACACCTATAAGAATTAAGATTTTTTTCAAGTAATGGCGCGTGTCAAAGTTTGGAAACTTTTGTTTTCCTCATCACTATGATTCCTACTCTTCAATGTTTACTTGTTTCTGTTAATTTTAGTTCAACCATTGAGTAATGTGTAATTTCAAAATGAATTCATATGCAAAGGAAGCAGTTTTTCCATGGGAGGTCCTTTTTTAAACCCTACAATCCGGAATACGAAATTGAAATTGTTTCTTAGTAGTTCAGTCTCTACGAAAGCAATATTATCGAATGTTTTTAGCGTTTTTGGAGTCGAGTAAGCATAAGAAGAATGATCATTCACAAAAAAGTATCCTCACAAGAAAATTGGCCCTCCTCAAATACTTCGAAGGGTGGTTGGCACGTCCCGTACCCCCGACATTCCCAACTAAGAGACTTTTTCTGGTTTTTCCTAATCATATGAAAGTCCAAGTGCAGCACAACATCGGCCGCGACCTGGTGAATATTACGGATGATGTCCCAACAAGAAGCCATTGTTGGGCTTCAAGAGCAGGATGGCCCACTGGCTTCCGCACACTAACGGCTAACATGGACCGAAGGCGAGAGGTAAAACTTTGTCCTCAGCGACGAATGGGATTTCTATCTTCCTAGAAATGATGTTGTGGACCCTGTGAAGTGTTTTGTCAAATGGAAACCTCATTTTGAGTATAAGATTCCAACAGTCAGAAATAGTGGAAGTATTGTCATGGATGAAGATGTGTCCGACCATTCGGCGATTCCCCAGTTCTAGTATCCAGCGAAATGTGGGTTGGGCTAAGTACAAGAATAGTCTGTAGAATACAATGCTTCCCTTCGATAGTCAGAACTAGCCGGAAAAGATGGGTTTTCTATCGCGGAAATGACCCAATGCAGGCCTACCTCCTCACTGCCGCCTTCCTAAACCCAGAAAAAGAAGCTGTTATGAAGCGACCAAGTCAAGATCTAAAGTCTAATTGAGTTCTACATCCCACGGAAGAACTGGCATGTCGCTCAACCCACATTCCAGTTAAGAATCCCACCAAACAATGTGATTTAGTTCACAGTGTGTAGGGTTCGACTTAAAAGTCCTAAAATTATTTTAATCAACTCCATGTCAATAAAAACGACGCTGACATAGAAATTCACAGCTACTCATCGAATAATTTATCTAGATTCGAGAGCTATTTTGCCGAATTCGCTTTGGAATTGAGAAGTTTCCAAACCTTTGTTGCACAGGGTGAAAATCGTGTCGAGGAAATAACCGCCTCTTTACGACCCCCCTCCAAAACATGGAACTCTGATACGACCCCTTTTTGTCCTCTGCACATCCGGTTTCATATCAAAAAATGCTAGTTTCAGATGTGCGAGAGGGACGCAGCGCCGCTGCCACGCAAATGCGGCTTGGCCAGAATTCAATTCTGCTCAGAATAGGCTCTCCTTCTTTCTTGAACCTTTGCCACATTGGCCGAAAAGTGGAACATTGAAGGAGGTACTGCCCCTACACAGTTGAACAGTCTCGCGCTCCAGTATAGCAGGCGCTAACTACCCGCGATAGCGTCGCGCGCTGTGCCTAGAGCGCGCTAGTTGGAAAAATCGTCAAATGTACCCCCCTATTTAAAGGACTATAACTTTCTCATTGATAACCGTTTCAGAGGGTGAAGGCAGCTTTCATGCGCCAACTTCCATTTCTTGAATTATGCTAGCGTTTTCATAAGCACGCATACCCGAGATGGGGACTCGAGAATTGTCGAGAATTGAAATACACAGGTCCACCTTTGGAGACAGTAGCTGTCTCATTGGCAAGCTTTAAACCAAATCGAGGAAAGCGTTGTCAAGTATAAATTCAGCTACGAGGTGCTCTAATTATTTCTAACGTTTCTAGTTCGCGAGAAATCTGCGTCGAGGAAATGTCAAGGAAATTTTCGAAGCCACTCGAAAACTCTATTACTCCCTCGCCGTAGTAGGGAACTTCTTTGAACACCTTCAAAATGCTTCTGTACACGTCAGTTCGATGGAGTAAATTGAAAATGATGCACTTGGCGCAGATCCATTCCGTTCTTGTATGCGCCATGCAGTGACCCCACTCGGAGTCATTGGGAAGGTGTTTTGTCCTAGTGACGACTTGCTTAAGCACACCAAAAGATATTTCCAGTATTAACTAATTAGAATAACTTTTGTGGTCATAGTGATGTCTGATATACTCCTTTATTCAAATCGCTTCCTTTCCAACCTGTTCTGATGTCATGTACACGCTTATGCGGGTTGCGGATCTATGTCCCGACGCCGCGCCCCATCTGCCTCGTTTTGAACTCGCTAACAAAGTATGCTGTTCCTCCACTATATTCTTCGACAGTACATCATTCTAATCGCTGCCCTTTCCCTACGATTCTTTTGCAGGACGCGTTGCCTTCCTATGCCATACTGATCACTACGAACCAAACCAACAACCACTTGTAAGATGTTATTTGCATTAGGCTAAGTACAACACTTGTGAAACTAATGATGACAGCAAATAAGTGGCAGCAGCACCGTTGTGTCCGTTGATGAACCTTTTGATTACGACCCCCTCCCAACTCTCATCGGAGCAAATACGACCCCCTGTCGAGGATTTCCTCGACCGTTATTCACCCTGCTTCCCCATTCTATTAAAATCATCATTTTTTAAATGCCTTCGCGATTTTCCAAAAAAACTTATTCGCTCATCGTCATCGCACTGTATTCTGTATAACAATTCGGATGAGACCCAATCATTGTCTAATCGTCATTGCAGACCAAAATAAAAAAAGTTTCCAAACATTTGACCGCTGCTGTAGATTGTACGGTATAAAAAGACTCACAAATCGATCTGCGATTATTTGTGGAGACACATTCCGCGCTTGTGGACACTCATTCGCCATTTCAATCGATTGTCTCAACATAACGTGAGGTGATAAGATGTTGCACTTCCGATGACAAATCCTGAAAATGAAACAGGAACATTTGGATGAATCCACATTAAAAGCACCATTCATAACAGGAGAGACAAACCTTTTCTGCCTGAATTTCTGCTTTCGACAAAGTTCTACGAGTACGCAATTCTTCACAAATCTCCGACACAGCCTCCTTGATGGTATCCACAAACTTTGTGATTTTCAGCATGCTAACCTTCAAACATAACAACAATATACAAGACTAGTGAAGCAGCCTCAATCTAAATAATTAATTATCGCAACGAACTTTACGAGAATCAAGAGTGAGAGCATGCAGACCGTTCTCAGGGAGACGATTCATTAGCATATTGTTGAACGAATTGTAATCGAGACCTAGAAAGATAAACAGCTAAATACCACCTCCCTGCCACGAAATTTCACTTACGGTGACGGAACTGAAGGGGTGATGCCAACTCAAAAATGGTAGTGAAGTTTGCTGGCAGATTTGACGGTTCGATATCGACGAGTTTTCCTGAAAAGTTATTCGCCGAGGTAAATTTAAATTAGCTAGAAATGTGTAGAGCGTATTTGAACGATTATTTACCAAATACTGGTGTAATTGGCTCGAACAAATTGAAGACAAACTGCGCGAATGTCGCCATATTGACAGTAGAAAGTGCTATAAATGTCATGAAAAAGATAAGGAACATTAAAATTTGAAAAGATCAGCCTGACTTTTTAAGCCTACCAGATGCTTCACGAATGATGATTTCAAGTGCCAGGGCATTCAAAATCTCAGCGCTGTCAGACGAGAAAACAGCTGAAATTATTAAATCACGAGCTCCGTGGAAAACGTCAAAAGAAAGAAAACCGACTTTTGGTTGCAGGTTCTGTGAAGTTATAGGTGGGTAGAGTGACTGGATCAGCGGAACGTTCATTATCGCGTTTTACGGGTACGAACGACGAAGTTACTTCAACAGCAACTCTGTAATTTCATCGCATCTATGCAAAATAAGGAAAAAAAGAAAGAAATTAAACTAACACTAAGAGCGGAGGCGTCGACGATTTGCGGCGATGACGAGAGTATCCACTGGAATGACTTCACTTATATGGGGCACAACTTGTGGAGAGAAGAATTACAACTTACAACGAACTTACAAGACATATTTAGAAAAGAAAAACCGACCCAAATATGTTACGCTTTTCGAAAGTAAGACATTTATGTTACTGAGAATTCTCAAAACTGTGCCGAATAACAGCGAAGAAAAGTATGCAAATCGATAGTTCATTGGTATATTACTTCCAGAACCTGACCACTGAAAAGAGATACAACTGGTGAGGAGTTGCCGCAGCGTATTTGCTTACAATTATCTACTTAACGGCTGGTACTACACGCGGGCAGCAGTAGGCCTCTCTCATGCATACTGTGAATGTTCCTTGAGGGATTACATGAATTTAGACTCTAAATGGTGAGTTGAAGAAGTAGGGCACTCAACAAGTATTGTCATCACCACTTCCCTATTCGACGAACTTCTTGAAAGCAACACTTCCAGATGAAATTTCTGGGGTCACAGCGCCCGATAATGGAGCTGTGCATGCCGAGTTGATTAAAAATGAAAAAGCTAGGAAACCGCCAATGAAGCCCTTAAACAAGTACTCCATCTTCTCCCACTTGGACCGAGGATGGGTGTGTCGAACGGGTTTTCAGAGCTTGCTGGCTCCACGGCTCCATGAAGCCATGCGTAATTGCATAAGCCGCTACGCCTTGAATCCACGCTATCTCATGATAAGTGCACGAGTAATCTTGCCCGTAAGTTAAGATCAGCGGCCATAAGTTCACTTTGTAAAGCCGTAGCGCTATTGCCGCGTACTTTCGAGACGCGACAACGTCACATTTGCGATATTCGAGGCCACTCTATCACCACCGTGTAGATTCTTCGACACGACTACTGCGGGGTTGTTGCTTCAACTATTGAAGTACGCAAGTTAATAGATGAGTAGTGTGAGAAAATGGCAAGAAGCTCTCATATCAATTTTCGCCTGCTGCTTGCCTCATATCGGAATATCGGGAAGAAGGCGGAATGTGTGGTCGATGAGACATGACATATAATAGCTCATTTCATGAGAAATTAATTAATATCAATCACATTAATGCAACTAGCCGTAGTAGCCAGCAAAATGCATGGCTTTACAATCAAAACCAACAGCTGATCTCACCATTTACCCCTTTCACGCTCCTGATTGAGAACAACGCACGCACTACTTCAAAAGTCACTTGCGAACAATTTTCAAGCAAACATGTATACAGAGGAGAGAATAAATAAATCCACTCCGCCCATAAGCGCACATCATCAAATTTTTTGTCGCATAGGATGCTGTTGTTGATGAATGTTTTATGGATATCCTTAGTTCCCCCCCCCTCCCAAATGCACGAAGCAGGCCGTCCTTCAGTGCCCCAGCGGCCTCCAGACTATAAGGGGGGGGAGGGGGGGGGGGGGGGGGGTCATATGCCGTCTAACACGTCGAACTCGACGAGAGCTTACTGTAACGCTCCGGCCTGAATGGCTGCTACAAGATTGCTTCAATCGATTGACTGGTGAAAAATCCCTCTGCGCCGACAGAAGCAGCTACGCTGTGACGCAGGGTCGGTCCTATCGTTGCTACTTTTCGAAAAAATTTTTACGACCCCCCTCCCCAAAGGTGGATTTGGTACGACCCCCTTCTCGACCCTCGACCACCATATTCCTCGCTATAGTATTTCATTCTGGTATCACTCGAACCCACGAAAACTCCGCCCACTTTTTCCTCCAAAAATGCCGTCGAGCGGGGGGTATATAGTCACTCTGAAACCGTAAAAATTACCTAAATTCCCTAAATTTCCACCAATTTACCCCCTCCTACCTTTAATCCCACGCTTCATTTTCTAGGGGGGTATATACGCGCGCTGAAACGGCAAATTTTCTCCCGCGCCACTCCTCCCTCACCTCATGCAACTTCTCACAATCGAAGCAAGTACGACCCCCCCTCTACAACCTCATCAAAATATACGACCCCCCTCTACAAACTCATCAAAATGTACGACCCCCCTCTAAAAACTCATCAAAGTACGACCCCCCGTTGCTACTTGTAGCAACGTAGGACCGACCCTGCTGGTGACTGTGCAAGACCCTCTTTGCTAGCGTTGAGAGACGTCGTAATAGTATATGGTACCTCGACCTCGTTGAGCTCGTACCGTGCACCATGTTTCGAGGGAAAATCTTCCAATGTCGTCGCTGTAGAAGGCTGTTATGTGATTTTTCGATAGATTGGAATAAGCTCTTTAATATTCTGTTGGCTCATTTGGTTTGGTTAAATACGCATCCTTGTAATTTATTCCGTTTTGAAAGTAGATTTTTTTGGCATAATTTATTCCGTTTTGAATGTAGATTTTTTTGCCTCCCCCTGTATATGGGATGATATTGAAGAAAACCTGCCTATCAACGACAACCACATCATCATTTGTGGTGTGATTACTCGCCGCAGACGACGACTGGGCACCACTCACCGCACGTTCTCTGAACATAGCTTCTGTGCCTCAAACAAAATCATGACTCATGAATCAAATTCATGGAGATGTTGTTCTCACTCATTCTAGACATTCCTAGTTAGTGTTTCAACTCCTGAACCGTGACTAGTAACGTCCTCTCATTTGAATGAAATATGGCAGCTTTTTCAACAAAATGCAGCCAACTCCACAAAAATTGGTCAGTACGACCATTTGCAATGAGGTGTAGTCCGCTGCACTCGTCTTGCGACACATCCCCTACCTCACTTGGCTCGCGTAAATACAGAACGAACGAACAGAACAAAGTAAGCAATTATAGCGCTCGTATGAGCAGCCTTGAAAAAAATGCAAAAGCTCATTATGGTCAAGTATTTGAACACTTAACCTCATTCCTATGAAGCAGAGCGCTATCCACTAGACCACCAGTCCCACAACCAAATTCCTCACCGGCTCAACTGAGCGAGGCAAGCGGGATGCGAGGATGTAGAGGGCGCCATAGTGAGAAAGCCACAGTGAGAAGAATCCCTCGTAACTTCTTTCAGAGAATCGTTCCGCAGATACCGAAAACGGATTTGAGCTCAGCGTCGCAAGACGAGTACAGCGGACTACACCTCATTACAAATGGCCGGACTGACCAATTGAGCATTCCTCGTCAGAAACATTGATAAAGACCCCTTGGGAAGGAATGCGTATAGATTGTTTTTTACGGGTAACACTTGAAAAAGGTCAACGAGAATGGCTAGAAATCGCGATTAAACACTTTTACAAAGAAATGTCACTCTTCCTCACTAAGCTCCAATGAACTAGTTATAAAAAAGGAAAAAATTCAGTGAACATACGTGCTGGCAGATATGGGCAACGGCGCGACTGTTTCCGTGTGAGCTGCCAAGAGCCGGCTTGATTTCCTTCTCAGCAGTGCGGATGGTGTCTCCACTTCAAGCGACTGTGCAGTGTCATGATCGAGAGAGCAGGATCACAGGACCTATTTTCTGCTACTGATGTCTTCCTGCGTTTTTCGGTCACAACGCTTTCGGTCGATTCGTTTGACCTTTTCAATTTTCCGCTTCGCCGTTGTGAATCGTGGCAAGTTAGTGCTGGTGAAGGAATTCGCTCTTCAGTGGTTCTCAAACGCGTTTCTCCCACAAAACTTGCGGCATAATTGGCCTTTAAGTTCGATATGCTTTGAATTTCAGACGGCTGCCGTATCTCCGTAGAAGCATGCTGACATGTTCTTGATCGTGTAGGAATGGCCAAGGTAGGAGTACTTGATGGCTTGTGATTTTGACGAGAATTGGCGGGAGATGGAGACTTTGATGGTATACAGTCAACGGGCATTGGAGTCACCGGAAGCGTTCCACCAGCAGAGTTAGGAGAAATTCTCGAGGATGTCCTGGTAGCAGAGTTAGAAGAATTTCTCGAAGATGTCCTGGTAGCAGATTTAGGAGAATTTCTCGAAGATGTCCTGGTAGCAGAGTCATTTGAATGCAAATTCTTGCTCTGACGTCTTGTTACAGGAGTTCGAGTCTGTATGCCCGTGCTAGAATCGCTCTTTTTCCGATGTGGAGTCGCATCTGAGATTTCCTTCACAACTAAGGGCTTATGCTTTGTTGGTAAGCTAACTCCATGTTTCATCTCACAGACCTTCACTCTGCACTCCTTGAATGTCGCCTCAATATTCTCAAATTCCTCGGTAACTATCGACACACCAACACATGAACGGAAACGAGATTTTGAGGTCAACGCAACGACGAGTTCCGTGCATTCAGTGGGCAAATCTGGACGAGAGCGAACGCCTTTCCTTATTTCCTTAACGGGACGTGTGGAGTGCTGGCAAGGTTTTGAACCTGCAACATCAGCTGAAGCTGTTCGTTTAGCAACTTTGATAGTTGAGTCGACACCCTCTGACAGACGAGAAAATTCGCTGACTGGACTTGGATGAATTTTCGTAGGAACAAGCACAGTGGTCTCGCATGGCAGAACAACTTTACTTGCCTTTGTTATTACAGTACCACATGTCTCAATGGGAACTCCTGCTTCGGTTCCTTCTTCTGTTCTTCGTGCCAAGGACACCGTAATCTGGGTACTTGTGGGTTCCACAATTACCGAATGAGCGCTTCTTCTAGTAACGGCGGGTGTTACGAATAATTCTGGCAAAATTGGTTCCGCATGAGATTCTGATTGGGCACTCGGCAAGCTTGTTAGCTTTTTCTTATCGGTTGCAACTACTGGATGTTTAGGGCTCTTCCTGATCTCGACACTGGGAGCTGTAGAAGTTGAAAGAGGAGATATTCTTGCATCAAAAGTATTTAGTTCATTCTTTCTTCTGGATGCGGTGTGATGATCATTAGTCTTCAGTACAGCGCCCGCTTGCTTCTCGGTTCCAACCGGTGAATTCGCGGATAGCGGTGAACGAGACTGATCTCTAGAACTCACGATTCTCTTCTTTGCCAAGGGTGGAACAATATCTGTTGAACACTGCTCTAGTCCTCTTTTACGCGGAGACCTTCTAGACACTCTGCTTGACAATAGGTCAGCACTTGTTTCCCCTTCTGATCTGGGCGCACCCAAAGAGCCAGTTTGCGCACTGGACACCGAAGAAGCCCTTGGTGTTTTGAGGTCTACCACAATTTCCTGACTCATCGGCACTTCATCTGGAGGAGGATCTTTCACAATGACACCTTCAAGATCCTCGACGATTACCAAACGATCAGGGGAATCAGAGAGATCACTTCTACGCGAGCTCATACTTCCAGCAGCACTTCGGCGTGTTGTAGGCCTATCACAGATGGAAGCTAACGCGGCGTTCACTTCCTAAAAATGAGATCTCCGTCAAAATTCCAAATTTTAGTGATGATAACCTGTAAGTAGGATGAAAGCTACTAACATTTAGATTCACGGGTTTTGAACGAGAACAAGAAGATGGTGTCGCAGTTTCCTTCGAAACTTTTCGCCGTGTTTTGACTTTTGCCTGAAATACCTTTTATTTACAATTTCACGACTGAATATGTTATTTAATCCGAGAAGCAAATGCAATAGCAAAACATTGAAAATAGAAGAAAAAATAGAACCTACTTTTCTTGACGACGTTGAAGAGCAAGGAGAGTTTTGTGGACAAGGATCTACGTCAATAGACTGACTTGGCATAGCACCAAGTTCCAGTAGCAACAAGCACTCTTCCATACTAGCTTCGTGTAGCTCCCTATTCCTAGGAGGGAGACGATTTAACAGGAGCCTCCGCGTCAATTCGAAGTACCAACTGCTAAAACGATTAATTGGAAACAGATGAATGCCTGTAGTATATGTAGGTTCCTAACCCATTCGCGACAATACCAGCCACCGGTGGCCGACACAGAGATGTTCTCTTTGGACTATGTCACCCATTGGTGATTGAGCGGCTTTTAATGAAGATTTAGAGGAAAATTTGCGCTTTTTTGAGAGGTTCTTTTGAATGAAAGGAATCTTCACCCCTCTCCCCCATCTCAATGCGCGCCAGCTCTGGGCAATGAAGATCTTCATATACTTTATTTTATCGAAGAAGACTACTCCGAAATTCGGCAGAACACAACTTGATATGCCAGATAACAAATTTTGCTACGAAATTCCCAAGGGGATTATTGATCGTCCTGATCACATATGACCCCTATATTTAGTGTATGTGCCAAAACGGCGGAAAATTCCATCCACATGGCGCAATAATTGCTTTCACCAAATTCGTTAAAAACTGACATACGCGAGTTATTCAGCGTCCTTATCACGAATGTAGCATTCGCTTTCACGCTAGCGTCAACTAGAGCCAATCAGAAGCGGGAAGCTTCCACCTTTT